TTGAACAATTCATGATGGTTTGCTGAATAAATGTTTTACTAAAATGCGTTATAGTTTTCTTAGCATAACATTTTGGAATCCAGACAGAAAAAGCAAAAATTATACAGTTAAGACATCAATTAAATTGAATAGGCCTACGCCTGTAATAAAAAAGGTGCAACACCAACGATAACTAATTTGTAAATTACTGTGATGTGTTGGTACGTAAAAATGATTCTTGCTGCTACTAAAGGTTAAAAGGAAAAGAACCAGTACCGTACCAAAAACCAACGTTTACAGTTAAGAACTGTAGTACAGCCGACCAATTATATGCGTTAATCAAGGTTATTGATCTCTTGGTTTTGGATTTTCTCGTAAAAAGTTATCGGCAATCAAAGTTATTTCCCATTAATTGCTTTATTTGTACACAACTCTTAATGTAAACTTATCGGTGTCAGTTTGAAAAAAAACCTTATACAACATAACTTTCTGTTATTTAATAGATTACGTATTCTCTAAACAATAGTTGCTGGTATATATATTAACATTATAAGGAAATGTGACAAAAATCACACAACGTTGGGTTTTTGGACGTTTATAATTTTATTTCTTAAGTACCTAGGTAGGCCGTGTATTCTATGGAAAAGTACCGGTATCAAGGATCGTTGTCGAATGGGTTGTTATAAATAATTGGGTAAGCATACGTACCACACGTACCCAAGAGAAGGGCTATGGGCCTATTGGCTGTATGGTCCAGCGATTGCATCACACGGTGAGTAGGAACTATTGACTTTATATAGTCAATGGTAGGAACAGAAAGTGACACATTGGAAAATCGAGTTCAGCATCATCCGTAAACCTCTGTTACAATCACCCACTGCAGTTGTAATTTTTTGCCTTACACTTTACACAACCGCCATTGAAGAGCCGTCAATGAGTGGAACATTGTTTCTAAGCTATTGGCGACGGTCATTAGTAAATTTAAGTTTCCCAGCCGTATACAACACTGATTCAATCTTGATTCAATGTCTTCTTTCTGGTTATCAAAACTCCAAAACAATTTTATACACATATTTCTGGTTCCTGACCTGGATGATGCCTAGTTATTTAATTTACGGTTACACTATATTATTCCACTTGCGATTAATTAAATCCTTTATGTAATAAAAACGTTTTTAATCTCACTTGGATGGGATTTTCCTTCAAAACGTGATCGGAAATGGTTGTGGTGTTTGTAAACAACATTTGTAAACATTTCAGTGACAGCTAGAAAAAATAATCTTGATCCGAACAGCTGTTCGTTGTTTCATAGATGATTATGTGATACAAATTGGAAGAAAACTTGACAAAAATCGCACAAAACTGCATTTTTGAACGGCCGTAATTTTAATTACAAAGTAGTGAGACCATATTTTAATGGCTAAAGACACTCTCGCCAATCCAGTGAATACATTAAAATGACTTGGGTCTTGATAGGTACTCTCTTTTTCCTGGAGAAGATTGCGTAAAATGCCATCTTGAGTGTGACAGACAGAAATTTAGATGAGACTTGTTTCGGCTTCTTTAATGTATAAAACGTAAAAATAACCTAAAAATGTATGATTCTGAGCAATGTACAGACAAAACTCTAATTTTATTTATATAGATTATCTTTATTTATACACAGTATTTGGGATTGTAAAATGCTGTGTAGATTTACAAGAACCATAACATACTAAATTTTAATAAAAATTCGTCAATTTTTTTAGTCCAATTTTTCATTATCTGTTTTATGGGGAAATCACATTTGGAATTTTGAAAGCAGTTTGGTGACTTTCTAAAGCCATTTTTAACACCTAAACCCGTGCCCAATTGCCCATAAACTCCCATTTCACCTGTAGTTTGTCACGAACAAATAGTCATTATACAAATTAAACTATATGACGATTGCATTAATGAATTTAAAAACACACTGTATCCTCCTGAAAGCCGTTGGGTGACTTTCCACAGCCAGTTTTAACGTCTAGAACTGTGTGCCAAATCTCCCATTTCCCCATTTATTTGTCATGAATAAGTAGACATTTGTAAAACTAACTATGACGATTGCATTCATAAATCTCAAAACATATTGCAGGCTACGGCCATATCCTCCTAAAATCTGTTTAATGACTTTCTAAAGTCATTATTAGTGTATATATCTGTGTCCAACTATCCAAAAACCTACCCCATTTCACACATGTTACTGTATTTGTCTTTGTCATGAGCAAGTAGACATGTTAAAAATTCAACTATGACGAACTTGCATTCATGAATTTCAAAACATAGCCTGTAGACTACGAAACCATTTCTCCTAAAAGCCGTTTGGTGACTTAAAAGCCATTTCTAACCGTGTGCTCCCACTATCTCCGCGTTCCGCCATCTCCGAACCAAAATCTGTCCCGCCATCTCCGAATTCTTGAGTGACCCTTATAATCCCGTCACTGCCTGCGTTGTTAGCTGTCATTGCATCCACGGCTGCGAAGCCCCGTGGATGGAAGATTTAATGAAAATTTAACCCGTGGGTTAGGTTAGGTTAGGTCAGGTTAGGTTAGATTAGGTTAGGTTAGGTTAAGTTAAGTTAAGTTAGGTTATGTTAGGTTTGGACGGTAAGTCTTAACGCAGGAAGTAACCGAGGATTATAGGGGTCACTCTGAAATTCGGAGGTAGCGGTACACGGAGGTGGCGGGACGCGGAGATAGCGGGAGGTAACCTTTCTAACGGCTAGAACTGTGCCCAATTGTCCTAAAACCTTCCATTTCACCTACTGTTATATGTCATGCAAGCAAGTAGACACGTTTTTCTCCGTTTCCATCTGTCACAATATGTATAGTATGATAGTATCGAATTCACTAATAGCATTGACTATATAAACTAACACTAGTGTTTATTTAGTCAATGGTTATAGGCTACTGGAGTACTGGTGCTACCGCTGATTGCTGATTGATGCCTGTGTAAAGTTAGTGGCTAGCAGACAATTTGACAATTAAGAACTAACTATTTAGGAAATCAGCTGTTTCCCCGTCCCCACTCACGCGCTCGGCGCTCGCCTTTGCCCTATCATGTCAACAGCTGACTGCTGTAAAAATTGGATGATGCGTACAACTTCCCATAGCGTAATATGGTTTTATTCGTTGTGCTATTGTCCTGTGTCCACAAAGTTTATCTACGTGGAATTTAATACTACTCCTGCCATCGCTTATTAAGTTTAATAATACCCCCGCCGCAGCAAACCTGCCGTCTAAGCGAATTTCCATTTGGCCGAATTGATTTTCAATTGATCTATTTAAATAACATTAGGTTTAACGAGTACCTAGGTTTGCTGCTACAAGGAAACTAATAAAGTACTGTGTTTTTAGTAAAATATTAATAGCTTACTATAAAATAAATAAATTTGCCAAGTTTGATCAAAATATATCCATAAACAAGCAAACTACAACATTTTACAATATTCTCCATAAGAATAACATGGGAATTTTAAATTTACAATTTTTTTAGTTTTCTCCGTAACCAATAACCGTACAAAAACACTTTGATATAGGCTACTGAATTGTTTGTTTTTTAAGCTCTTTAAGAAGGTTTAGAGAAAAATTGGGAAATTTTGTGTTTTGAGGGTAAAAAGTGAGAAAAACCCATTTTTACCCCATAAAACCCCCCATAAAACCCTGTTCCCATGGTCCGATCATGCTGGATCGCGAACTCATTCAAGTTTATCCCGCCTTACACCTTCAAACCAAATTTCATCAAAATCGGATAAAAATTACTCAAGTTATCGTGTTCACGGACACATATATATATATATAAATCTATATATATATATACATATATAAAAATTTGAACGAATGGTGTTTTTGGCCTCTGGGGACATTAAAATGAAAAAGTAAATCGGTCCCGGGCCTAAGTCTTACCATGAGACCTACGGGAATAGCTACTTCCCCATAGGGAAATTCGCTAAAAACTACAATGACATCTGTTTTATGGCATGACATTCCCAATTAACGTATAGACATATTCGTATCTAAAATATCATTTCGGGCTCCACCCCAGTGTTCCTGGATTATCCTTATCCATATATTTAATTCCGTAAGCGAATCGATACCCACGCAATATCTCGAGCTAAGAAAAAAGTAGCATGGCTGTTAAAGATTCATTTTCAAACTTAAGGTCCAAGATGGTGGGAAAAATATCAGAAGTGTCCAAAATTACCCCTGCTCTGCTCCACGGGCTATCAAAAATCCAGTCATTTTCTAATAGAAGTACTGTACTGCTACAGCGTTCCTATAAGCTGCTTTAAATATACCAGCTGATGTGAAAATTGCGTACTTGTTTGTTTATTGATTTAAGTGTTATTTTTTAGGTTACAATGGTAGATATCGTGATAGAAGACCGTGACTAGGGCGACTACGAAGGAGAGTATTCATTTAGTAGGAATGGTGTGGGAATGGTGTACAACATAACGGCCAAATTTACAACGGAGGTGAAGGGGGCCCCTAGTTCATATTTAAAAGGAATTAAAGAATTTTGTCCGCTATTTGAATTGCACAAGTTCACAAGTTGGTTCTATGATACTAAATAGCATTAAAAAGTTATAATGTTTACCAACAGGGTGAAGCACTATTGCATTTACACAGCTAAATGCATGACACCAGCTAATTTGAACCAAAGCTACTAAAAGCTGTGGTACACAATGAGAGCTTTACTTTCTTCTATAGTTTAGGTCCAGTGTTAAATCATTATGGCTATTGTATTGTAGATGTGCTATAGCATTTCTTATAAATTACAAGAATAAATTTTTCTTAAATCGTGTCCTCTCCCATAATTTTGTAATTAGCATTTTATACTTATATGCCAACCCGGTATGAAGAACGGGTATACTCTGCTAGTAATTAATATTTAACCCCCCCCCCCCAAAAAAAAAAAAAAAACAAAAAAAACACATACTCTTATATACTAAATGTAAGCTAAATCTTTGTTCGATAATAGTTTTGTACATTTTATGTTTATAGATAAAACTGTATACGGAATCGAAAGCTGGGATCATTGCCTACCTAGGGGTTCCTTATGCTCAGCCACCAGTGGGCGAACTCAGATTTTCTGTAAGTGAAAGAGACTGTTGTAATTTAGTCCTAAATATTGCTCTACCCAAGGTTGTTGGCCAGAATGCCAACCGCATGGTAAAAAGCATTAAGCGGTTTGAGACTTTTGAGAGAGCTTTGCCTGTCAATCCGTAGGCAGCGCCACCAGCGTTGCCATGCAATACTGTAGCATAGCAACGCTGGTGGCGCTGCCTACGGATTGACAGGCAAAGCTCTCTCAAACCGCTTAATGCTTTTTACCATGCGGTTGGCATTCTGGGTTATAGTAGTACGTTTTCTGGGGCCAGAGTCAAGAAATATATTTTTTGCATTATATTTACAATACGTATATTCATTCGGTTTTAATAGGTAAATTTTACTTCTACAATGTAAATTTATGTGCCTGGAAATACTTTTATAACATGTCTTTGATATGGGGGTTTACTTCTTTAGTTTAGCTATCTTAAAATAATTCACAAACTATTCATACTATGATAAATAAACTTTATTCCAAAAGTAGTATTTGTCTTTTTACAAATTCAAGTTCGTCCAACGTAAATGAAAGACGTTTTATTTGCCTGGAAGCTCTGTAATTTATTGGTTCTTAAAATTACACGTTTAGCGTTGTAAGTTAACTTACTTTAAAATATTGGTAATGATCTCAATTAAATTTGGTGATAAACTAAACTGTAGAAAAAAAGAAAAACAGAAAAATTATATCATGTAGGTTAATATTAAAGAGTTGTACGATGAGATTGGTTCATTGTACCATTGACTATAACAGAAATATACATACATTCTGTGTATAGTCAATGATTGTACCAACTTAAAAAAAAAAAATCTATCTGCATAGTGATCTTTTCTTTGCCTTTATACAGGGTTTTTGTCATAAAACACATTCCAAATTACAGTACAAGTTTAGAGATTCGCTGTTTAGGTACAAACATCTAAGCATCCTAACAACTGTTGGCAGTCCTGCTTCCTTTACTTCATTAAAGGGGTGCACACACCGGGTATACCGACCGAACCTAGCATGTTCCATTTCACCGCCCAGCGGTGCCGGTGCGACGAGTCATTTGTGTCCAAGACTCCAAGCAACCAACATGGCAACTGAGCTTCAGATAGAAAATGTCTATTTGTACCAAATTGTCATTCTGATATATATGGAAAAACGTTTCTCGTCTTCAAATCATTCATTCACTTCATTCGCAATGTTCAAATCCTTTGTTGATACCTACTCCCTATCTTTGCGATCGTCATCTTCAGCTACAGCAAACAATAACAAAATTTCTTCCTCGTCGTCTGTCACATTTCTTACTAACAACACACCGCATTTGTTGACTGCACACTCAAAAACGACTACGAAAATTTACTGTAGACTGCTGTCACCGCGGCGGTACGGAATCGCTTTGGTGTGAACGCCCCAGCGATAACGCCGCGGTAGTGATGGTGGGTGGAGGAAATGAAAAAACGCGCCAATATCGCCACCGCTCTCACCACTACGGTGTGTGCAGGCCTTAAATCAGGTAATATGCATTGTTGCATTGTTGTCTACATGGTTTAGTGTGACTAGTAATTTATTGTGAATAATATTCCACGTGGTTTTGTCTAAAACACAACTCATGTTTCAGATGTAATTTACGTTAACACAAAACATTAATATTGTACCATTCATCTTGATGTTTGTTTAGTTACACCAATGTAATACAGAAACTAGTTGACTTAAATGGTAGTTGATTTATTATGTGCTGTGATCTCACATGGAAACTTCATTGCAGACATTTCATACTTGACATAAATCAAATGATTTGCTTGTAAAATGTATTCCTTTACATTAAACAATCTTTGAGGTTGTAAATATACAATGTCAAGAGTCAAGAACAATTTACAATATAGTCCTATCCTAAACCGTACAATCAATTATATCCATGCAACAATGCATTTAAGGAGATCAGTCAATGAAGTACATGAAGCAGGGCTTCCTACGTATGAGCTTGTTTTGTCCCTAAAATGTGACTCTCTCTATAGTTGTAGTTATTGGGGCTGTGTTAAAACATGAAAAAACACCCGGGAATTCGGTCAAATACAATATGTTATGTACAATGTGATATTAGAGTTAAGATACAAGAACAATTTGCCTGTTATTTTTTCAATATCATACTAATAATTTTGACTTGAAAGTCCAAATAATTAAGTAGAAATACCAATCTATAAAAAGCATAGAGCTTCATATATTAGTAAACTATACTTCAGCATCTTGACAAGGATTGGGGGCACAGTTGACACAACCGCATGCTAGTATGTATACTTGCGGTGAGTGTAGAATTGAGTAGCCCTACCTTAGGTTCCTATAGTACAGGTAACTTGAGTGAGATCTATTCTTACATTATATTACATCCTAACTAAAATTTATGTTCTCACTTGTATATCCTGCTCAGCCTCCAGAACGACATGTAGGATGGGACAGGTCATTGTTCGCAGGAAGCTTCCAGTCAATCTGTCCGCAGCCAATCAACAAGCTAGTGCCGAGTATGGGTGGACTCACGAGACAGGACGAGGACTGTCTTTATCTCAACATTTGGACCACTGACGTAAGTGTCATTTCAAAGCTAAGAGATAACTAGAAGTCGTGTTTTGTTTATAATTAGTTTCTTGTCATTTCAATTATTTAAAACCTCTTTTAACCAAATAAAATGATCTAATCATAAACAATAACTCGACTCCTAATAATAAAAACAAAGACTAAAGCACATACCGTGAAATTAACCCTAAAATAAAAATACCCCCGCCGCAGCAAACCTGCCGACTAAGCGAATTTCCATTTGTCTGAATTGATTTTCAGTTAAATATATTTTAATAACATTAGGTTTAACGAGTACCTAGGTTTGCTGCTACAAGGAAACTAATAAAGTGTTTTTTTGAGTAAAATATTGATAGCTTAGTACAAAATAAATAAATTTGCCAAGTTTGATCAAAATATATCCATAAACAAGCATACTACAACATTTGACAATATTCTCCATAAGAATAACATGGGAATTTTAAATTTACAATTTTTTTAATTTTCTCTGTTACTAACAATCGAACAAAAATACTTTTATATACTAAATTATTTGTTTTTTTAAGCTCTTTAAAAAGGTCTAAAGAGAAATCGGGAAATTTGGTGTTTTGAGGGTCAAAAGTGAGAAAAACCAATTTTTACCCCATAAAACCCCCCGTAAAGCCCCGTTCCCATGGTCCGATCGTGCTGGTTCGCGAACTCATTCAAGTTTATCCCGCTTTACACCTTTAAACCAAATTTCATCAAAATCGGACAAAAATTACTCAAGTTATCGCGTTCACGGACGTATATATATATATATATATATATATATATATATATAAGTCTATATATATATATATATATATACATATATAAAAATTTTAACGAATGGTGTTTTTGGCCTCTGGGGACATCAAAATGAAAAAGTAAATCGGTCCCGGGTATAGGTCTTACCGTGCCACCTACGGTAATAGCTACTTCCCTATAGGGAAATTCGCTAAAAACTAAATTTCGTCGGCGCTAACGATCAGTGTCACCGGACATGAACTAGGGACGAAAAAAGCTTAAAAATCTACAATGGGATGAGAAGTCTATTTGTGTTGGTTAGTCTTTGGTGATATGTTGAGTATATTAGTTAAGATTGCAGACATTTTCGATCACTATCAGTGTAAATATGACATGAAAACTAAGTTTTTACAAAGTTTCCGGTTATGGAATCTTTCCTAAGGTGAGAAAGTACCTACATACGGTTCTAACCATGCACAATCTGGTTAACCTTTAGGTCCTATCTCATCTGAGGTAACTATAGTGTATCTTAACAGTTTATAGTAAAACACCTATTGAATTTATTAATGGTCACAGTCACAGAAAAATCATTTCTGACTGAATGTTACATGTTTTAAGCTTGCTATGAACTACCGCAACGCTCCGGTGGTTGTGTTTTTCGAGGGGGAGGGATTTGTTGCCGGAGCTCCATCTCGTTTCCCCGCACAAGATCTGGCAGCTGAAGGATTGGTTGTGGTGTCAGTAGCTTATCGCCTCAATGTGTTTGGTAAGTCATATTTAGTTGAGATTTTACTGTTTTAAATTGTTCCTAGTAGATGCTAATAAAATAAGTTCCACAACTCACACTGCAGCATAACACCTGTGTTACATACATGTACCCATTTTGCACTTGACAAATAATTATTGTACTTTGTAAAAAAAATAATACAATATGAATCACACAAATTTAAGTCAGTTTTAAAACATTTTAAAAATGTAGCAACTGTCTATTACTTCTCTAAAAGTATTGCATCTAATTCTAAAATATACTGTTTTAAATTTAGGTGAAATAAGGGAATACATAAATTTATTGTTATGGTACATTTAAGGATAACGTGAGCCTGAACACTACCTCTTTCTGTAGCCATAGCAAAAGGTGAAGTCTTTTTTTATGCTAACAAACTAAAATTAGACTAATGATTACGAAAACAAGTTGAACATTGTAGCAAACATTTAAAGAATGTAATTCATTTCTCGAATTCAATTGCTTGTTTTTTTGCACCTTAATACATGGCCTATTTTGGTAAATTGTTAGCCATTGGTGCTCACCTACATAGGTAACTAAAGTTAAAGGGTATCGATAAAAAAAATAAACTTGTATTGCTTTCATATTAGCAAAAGCCAGTTGAGCGGATCGATTTCATGTTTTTTATTATAAAGCAATAAATTAAAACAATGTTTGTAGAATATAATTGTTGAATATTACATTTTTTATAGCACACCCAACTTCATCTAATCTGGATTAATAATAAACCATCATATGTTTTTACATTTTACATATGCAGTTGTTTACTATAGTTATTTGTGTAACTAATGGGCAAAGTGGCACTTTGCTGCACACGAGAGCAATGTTTGCGGAATGATCTCGAGTGCAGCAAAGGCCTTTTGCACTCGTGTTACACATTATATTTTTCCTACAGTCACCCGACAAAGTTGGCTTCCTTGTACTGTTTATAGTACAGAAAGCTGCTAATTGCTGCATATTTATACTTTTCCGTACGGTTTATAATTTGCCGTACGGTTTATACTTTGCCGCACATCAGGATTCCAACGAAACAACACAAAACAGCGTGGTTCTATTATGCACGTAATCCGTGTACGCTTGGAAATAGGTTGGCAACACTTAAAGATAATAATACTATGAGCAGCTGATTGACTATTATAACTATGATTTAACCTGTCATTTCGTGTTTATAGTTTCGGTATTTCTGAACTTTCTGGACTTTTCTTTTTAACGTTTTTAAAACATTCATACGATCTTAATAAACAAGAAAATACCTTTAGAGCATTTTTTTAGGCGCGGAAACCACTTCAAATTACAAAAACATACGGAACTATATTCTCAAAACGCGGAGCACATTTCTTGCAGAGGAAAAATAGCGGAGTGATACGGACCGCGGGTACTACTTTCTCTAGGGCACCATTTGTGTTGCCAGCTGAACCTAAAAACGTGTTGTATAGTGTTTGAAAGACTAATTATTTATATGCTTTATAGTGACTGTAGGAAAAATATAATGTGTAAAACGAGTGAAAAAGGCCTTTGCTGCACTCGAGATCATTCCGCACTCGCCTGCGGCTCGTGCGTAAACATTGCTCTCGTGTGCAGCAAAGTGCCACTTTCACCACTAGTTACACAAATAACTATTTCCTACAGTGACTATAAAGCATAAAAATAATTAGTCTTTCAAACACTATACAACTTGTTTTTAGGTTCAGCTGGCAACACAAATAGTGCCCTAGAGAAAGTAGTACCCGCGGTCCGTATCACTCCGCTATTTTTCCTCGGCAAGAAATGTGCTCTGCGTTTTGAGAATATAGTTCCGTATGTTTTTGTAATTTGGAGTGGTTTCCGCACCTAAAAAAAATGATTTAAAGGTATTTTCTTGTTTATTAAGATCGTATGAATGTTTTAAAAACGTTTAAAAGAAAAGTCCAGAAAGTTCAGAAATACCGAAACTATAACACAAAATGACAGGTTAAATCGTAGTTATAATAGTCAATCAGCTGCTCATAGTATTATTATCTTTAAGTGTTGCCAACCTATTTCCAAGCGTTCACGGATCACGTGCATAATAGAACCACGCTGTTTTGTGTTGTTTCGTTGGAATCCTGATGTGCGGCAAAGTATAAACCGTACGACAAAGTATAAACCGTACGGCAAAGTATAAATATGCAGCAATTAGCAGCTTTCTGTACTATAAGCAGTACAAGGAAGCCAACTTTGTCGGGTGACTGTAGGAAAATATATTTTCAGTGTTGTGTTTGTAAGAAAATAAAATAGTTTATAACAATTTATTCTTTCATCAACTTTAATTTCACCAACAAAGGTTATGGGTCATTTGGAATAATAAAATATTCATTTTACAGTATTCTGTGCTTAAAAATAAGTAAAATGAGTTTTGGCTATAGAATTGAACCTTTGAAACGAAATAATTATGACACTTGGAATATTCAAGCTGAAGCTATATTAATCCAACAAAACCTAATGGAATATGTATCTGGAGAGAACAAATGTCCTGAGGATGAAGTTGGTAAGAATGCCTGGATAGTTAAAGATCTTAAAGCAAAATCAGAACTAATATTGATAATTTCACCTAGTGAATTGAAATTAGTAAAAAAATTCAAAACTTCCAAAGAAGTATGGGATTGCCTGCAGAACAATTACCAAAGTTCTGGTCCTGCAAGGAAAGCCAAATTTAAAGCAGTTAATAGTTCATAGAATGAAAGATCGAGAAGATGCTAGGGATCATGTCAACAAATTTATGGAGATTTTTGACAAACTTCAAGAAATGGACATCATTATCAATTCAGACTTACTTAGCATTATGCTACTTTACAGCTTATCATCATCATTTGAAAATTTCCGGGTAGCAATTGAGTCTAGACCTTCTCCTAATGATTTAAAAATAAAAGTAATTGACGAGAGTGAAGCTAGGTCAAAAGACACTTGTACGAATAATGAAGATACATTGTATTGCAAAACAAAGCAGTCCAACTCCAAGAAAGGTATTCACAAACACTTATAGTCATGAGAAACAAGATGAGAACAACACTACAAAAGTAAGTTTCAAAGTTAAATTTTTTAGATTTGGAAAAATAGGACACAAAGCCAATAACTGTAGATCCAAAATTTGAACATTTTAGGTTCTACTTCATCTGATTGGTGTATTGATAGTGGATGTACATCGCACATGTGTGGAGAGAAATCACAGTTCAGAGATATAAAAAATTCAAACGGAATTTTTCAACTTGCTTCTAAAGGAAAGACATTTGACGTTTCTGGAACAGGAACGGTTTCACTGGAATTAAAAAATTCTGAAATCATACATTTGAACAACACACTCTGTTTGTACCAGACTTAGCAACAAATCTAATGAGTGTCAGTAAAATAACAGATAAAGGATTTAAAGTGATTTTTGAAAAAGAGAAAGCTGTCGTCCAAAACCAAAGAGGAAATGTAATTGTGGCAGCAGAACGTCAGGGTGGTCTTTATTATGTCAAAAGTACAAAAGCTATAATGGTAAATGAAAAATCAAACTATACAAAAGAACCTGAGATCATAGATTGGCATAAGAAGTTAGGTCATCTAAACGAGGTTGACTTAAAAACAGCTTTAAAAAATGAATCTTTAAATGGATGAATCTTTAAACATGAAAGACAAAATTGGAGAATGTGAAGTGAAACGTGTATCAAAGGAAAATTGACACAAACACCATTTCAATCAAGAAAGATCGCAAATAATGTAGGCTTGTTAGAAGTCATACATTCTGACATTGTAGGTCCTATGAAAGTAACTACACCTGGAGGAAATAAGTATTTTGGAACATTCATTGATGAACATTCAAGATACTGTTATGTATATTTTTTGAAAAGTAAAGACGAAATTTTTGAACATTTCAAAGAATATAAATATGAGGTGGAAAATCAAACAGGAAATAAAATCAAGTTTCTGCAAACAAATAACGGCAAAGAATATTGTAATGGTGAATTTGACAAGTTCTTGAAAGAAAGTGGTATAAGGCGAAGACTAACAGTTCCATACATGCCACAACAAAATGGTTTGGCTGAAAGAAAAAATAGAACATTATTGGATATGGCAAGATGTTTACTGATAGAATCAAATCTACCAGGATATATGTGGACTGAAGCTATTAACACATCTAACTATATAAGAAATCGATGCCCTTCAAAAGCTACTGAACACTAACGCCATATGAAAAATGGACTGGAAGAAAGCCTTCAGTAGGACACTTGAAAGTATTTGGATCAAAAGTATTTGTATTAAACAAAGCTTCAAGAAAAGGAAAATTTTATCCGAAAGCCGAGCAAGGAATATTTGTGGGGTATGCAAGCAATTCAAAAGCATACAGAATTTGGATGCCACAACAAAAGCAGGTTAAAATTGCAAGAGATGTAAAAGTTCTTTCAAAAATGTACTATGAAAGAAATGAAGATGTAAATGATTACAATCTTCTTGAGCAAAATAAAATAAAATAAAGTGATAAAAAAATCAAGATTTTTGCATTATTCCGATCAAACAGAGCGAAAATAATGATGACCAGTCTGATTTTGACACTATATTTGAAGAAAAAAATGACAGTGAAATGGAAAATTATATTATTTTCGAAGATGATATTGAAAATCAACCTGATGATTCACCAAGCTCAAATGATATTGAAAATCAACCTGATGACTCACTAAGCTCAAATGAACATTTAGACACTGATGAAATAAGGGTATCACAGAAAAGGCAAAGAAAACCTCCTCCGTGGACAAAAGATTATCAAATGTCAGCTACCTGCAATGAAGATTCAACTTTAGAATCTTCAGAGGAATGGAATGAAGCAATAAAAGAGGAAATAAAAGCTCATTTAAAAAATGAAACTTGGGTGCTCGAGGATAGAAACAAAGAAATTAATGTAATTGGTTGTAAAATGGTATTAAAGAAGAAACTAAAACCAAATGGAGAGCTAGAAAGAAGAAAAGCACGATTGATAGCAAAAGGAT